TACCTGTTCCTTCCGAACTTACACTTCCCTGTTACGTTCCGAGGTCGACTCCGTTGTTAGAAATAGATGCAACATAAAATATCTAAGTTTTAATTATCTATGTATGTAGAATAACACTCATCGTTTGGAGTATGGGCCGGGCTTTGCTGTGGGACGTCACACTTGCCCCATCTCGTCTCCAGCTTTGGGAAACCCAAAGGCCGGTAGCTACCTTGCCCAACGCATTAGCATGGCTATACGAAGGGGGAACGCTGCCAGCATCTTGGGCACCTTACCGCGGGGACCCAATTTTATTCATATAATTTAATCCTAGTACCAATTTAGAAAAGTCCATTTCCCAAATTTGGTCCTACCAGGAATCGAACCCGGGATCTTCTTCATCCAGTGCCCACTGTGCAAACCGTTGTGCCATCGAGGTCGTCAAATATCTATCATTTAACACTAAGTGAACTAACCTAACAGTTAATACTTATTTAAATACACATGTTGTGACCTGGTTTGCCACCGGCCATATACGATCAACTAGCAAATTGACTTGTAGACAGTGCGTTTGTATTCATTTGTTTAGTTGATTGTGTCACTTGTGATGTATTACACTTGTGAAGTCTATCTATTCTTTCAATATTCACTGAATAAACATTTCAGTCTACTATTTGGTCCCACCGGGAATCGAATCCATTGGGTCACCGAGGTCGTGAATTATACCAAGAGCAAACAGAATATTAGGTTTGTGATTATTCCCAGACAAATCAAAATGCGAAAGGAAGTCGACGAAACTACAATTTCTTTGTTCTTATAATCAACAAGGCAATATCTGAATAAGAATGATCACTCGTGGCTTTTATTAAACCAATACGATTTGTTGGTCAGTGTGTATAAACGTAAGTCAAAATAAACTTGAACACAATTCTTTGGTACACTTTATTGACATATTTTATTTATAACACAACGAATTGCACATAATTTCCTCCATTGACATAAAATACAAGGCTTCGTACATTTGTTACCAATAATCAAATTAAAAAAATAATTTTAGCTAAACACTTTTTTAATTATTTTAAACCTAACAATAACATCATTTACAGACATGTATACACTTATCACTTACGCATCTATATATTTATTTAAAAAAGTACTTTCATCATAGGGCTCAAGACTTCAAATTGAAATCACAAATATTGATGGAAATACTTTTTTTTTATATACAATATAATATGTATATGTAGTATTTTATAATTTTACGTACTACTAATTATTATTTACACATTTGTTCGTTTACTTACGCTTATCATTAAACAAATTATGTATAACTATGATACTTAGCCTTATTTTAAGGCTGGGTACACATTAGGATTAAGAGAGTTTAATTTTATTTACATAAAATTGATAATTTTTAAATTACAATGGAAGAGGAATATTACGTATTTTGTTCTTTTTACTGTTTTTTTAACGAGAAACAAACTGTAGACATACTGAGATCAAAATCAATGTTACGAAAAGAAAAAAAAGTATTATATACAAGGTCCTACTAAATAAAAAAAACTAAGATTTCTACTAAAATGGAGCGGTTAAGAACGAGTTTCAGTAACCAATTAGTTTTTCATTATTTTTACTTAGTTATGGCGTAAAGATGAAGAAAGATTATGTGTGGAGACTAGTTAAAGGTACACAGTCCTTCTTCTGTCTGCTTTAATAAATAAATAAATATATGCTTTACTCCGTCTTCAAAAAAGACAGACTAGCTTTAACAATCAGACATCTGCGCACCGAAAAACCGATGCGGATTTAAAGTATATGAGTTTGCAAAATTAGAGCTGTAAGGGTGTGCAGTATCGCTAAATGTACAGCGAGTGCATGCTACATAGAAATGGGTAACTGTATACAAACTGCATTCCAATTGCTAATTTGTAACTGCTATGAAGTCGCAATGGCGATCGCGTCACTACGCACTTTTAGTGTTTTTTGAAGGCGGAGTGAAATGTTGTCTGAAATTAGACAATATTTATTTATTACCATACGTTGCTTTGATTCCAAAGTAAGTAAGTAAAGCACTTGTGTTATGGAAATCTGAAACAGCGACGGTACTACAAACACCTAGATCCGAGATAATATGAAATAGTTAATTTTTCTACATTGGCCGGGGATCGAACCCGAGACCTCAGAGATAGCGATAATAAGAAAACTGATGTGCAAGCCACTCGACCACGAAGATCGTTATAGTAGATATTGATTCATCAATTTCTTAGATAGTCTTCACGTCCATTTCATGTAATAACATTTATAAATAGTTTTTGAAATGTACAATATATTTTACAACTAATAATCGTGTATTTTAATACAATGAATAATAAACTGGATTCTAATTCATAATATCAACACGTATAACGGCCATTAGGCGGCCATTGAAAGTTAACTCGTGGCAAAAGCCTATAATTTACTAAAAAGTAAATTAATTTATTCCTATTGTGGTATTAACAACAACTTTCTGCAACTGCAGAAAGCACCATTTAAACAATTATTGAGCGGAAATGTCTTTTATTTTGTTATTCAAACATCTGTGGTGCGAAAAACCGATTCGGATTCAAAGAACATGAATGTGCAAAATTAGAGTTTTAAGGGTGTGCAGTATCGCTAAATGCACGGCGAGTCTACAAATGGGTAATTGTATACAAACTGCATGCCAATTGCTAATTTGCAGCTGCCATGAAGTCCGAATGGTGTTTGCATCACTACGCACTATAACAAATTGTATTTCGCGTATGAATTTCAATTAGCATTGTTTTAAAAATGGAACCTCTAGAATGTGTAACAGTTGCCATTTGTTGTTGTGATAAATCACTAACCAATTTCGGAATTGGATGAGCTGTTTTACTACTTTATTTTATTACCTTTTCCTATCAGTAAATATGGGCAGTGTCTTCCCTCGTATAATTTTTATTGCAATGTCCAACAAAAATGTCTTGCCAAGCCTTATTTAGTGTATCTAGATTAGTGAAGTTTCGCCTTTTTAGAGAGCACATAGCTTCATCAATTCATGAACTCGTCTCATATACAGCACGCACAGCGATGTCGCAATGGATGGGGGGATCACCCGTTTACGAAGTGACCCAAATCTTTTTGTGATGTTTAATAATAATAATAACAATTTAATAATCATACTTTATTCCTCCACAAAGCACAACAACAAATAAGAAGTACATAAACGATCTTATTAATTTTAAAACAGTATTTTGTAGGTGCAGGTGCTTGCTATAGGTTTAACACCTGTGCTACAAGTCACCAGGTCCTAACCCTTGCAAATGAAAGATATGTTACTAAGTATACATATACCAACTAAAAATTATATGTATGAGAGAAAAAAAGATGACGAAGAAATTAGAATATTCATATAAAAATAAGTTATGGTAACAAAATTTCCCTTGAAAGATAATAAAAATTTATGTATAGCTTAAAGTTTATCACAGGCACCTACACATTTTCCTACTTTTAAATATGTTAAAAAATGAAAGGGAAAAATCAATTTCACATTTTTGATTAAGGATGTTTTATCTTAGAGAGCTACTATTGACCTGTAGAGATAGAAATTTTACGCTAAGCTTATAGTATAATCTAGAATTTCACATATTTCAAGTTACAATACTATTGTAATAGCAGTGCGTTATCTGGAATCTGCAAAACGAGATCTACAGCTCTCTATACGCGGTTTTTATATCTTACTCAGTTTCAGATTTATTATAAAGCAAAACTACCGTGATCGACATATCTCGAAAATCACTAAAATTCAAATGTGTTAGTTATGACAAGGGCATATTAACTATAGTAATTGCATGTAAATGTGCATAATAGTAATAATATTGTTAAATCACGCCAATTACCTGGTCTCAAACTAGAGAACTGCCATTATGAAAGCCAGACTAATGAAATCAACTTCGAGTGCAAATTTAAAGAAAAAATGGAAGTAAATTGGATTAATTTAACCTTCACTGGGTTCGCGAAGTAGCAAGCAATTTGCTTTCATTTTGTATAGGATGGATTTTCACAAAGTAACGTTTGAACCTTAAATATTGAAGTTAACAAAAATTTAAATTTAAAATTCGAAAATATTTTTTCTACTCCCGTACTTCAAGTCAGGGGCCTTAGACTAAAGTTTTCAAATATTGAAACTTAGTAATATTTTAGTTTAAGCCTGATGAATATACTGTTAAGATCTAAATGAAAATTTTAACGCAAATGCGGTGGTTAAGTTTGCATAATTACAAAGTTACACCTAAGTCTCTGTCAATTATAATTTCGTAAACAAAGGCGTTATTTTTGGTTCTGGACCAAAATGTTACTATTTATGGTACTCTTTGCTGAACTGAAAAATTCTGTGTACAGAACTGTAATGAAATGAATCTGTTTTTCCAGATTTAAATCGCATATATTTGTTTTTTCAAACAAACCAACGTATCGGGCCCTTTACAGGTCCCAAGGTCACGGTTGACTGTAAAGCGGTGTTATAAGGTTTCTGTCTAGAGCCCATATGGTTCTTTGTGCATATGGATCGCTGTGTATTTATTGTAGGTGCTATAAATATATTACATAATACATGAATGGCAATGCCATAAGGTACGACCTTTTATGATATTTTGTACATTTAACTAGGAGAGTTAAATTCTTTGCTCGTCTATATTAGGTATATTTAATATATTATTTCCTTTATTTATTTGAAAGCGGGGTCCCACCCTCGTAATTTTACAGATTTCCTCACACAACCGACAGCATCACATTGAACCTGCCGATTTTATATTAATAATTAATCGATTACTCAAGGACAGCTTATCACCGCGCACCCTGTCCCACCTATTTGTCGTCATGTTTTGTAGAATCATGGACCGTGGGAAGCTGCCTTAAGTATTGACCATTTAGAAGGAATATTAACTTTGTCCAGTTGTTCATCTTTTATTTTATTAATAATTGTTTCAAGTACAGTAGTGGCGAAGTATGTGAGTAGTTATATATGTATTTTTATAATAAATAACAAATTTTCAATTCGTTTCGGTTTAGCTATATCAATATTCTCGTATACATATTCCACCACGTCTGTCTTTTACTGGGGTATGCAGAGATCAAGAGTTTCCACTTGTAACGTTCCTGTAAAATCTCGGTCGCCTCTTGTGTTTATCCTTCGTTTTTTTAACCTGGCCTTTTTTCCACACACATTCGCTCTATCAATTTCTGCCTTTCTACATAACTAAGTATTTCAACCGTTTTCTATCTTTATTTTCAACCTTTTTTATTTTTACTTACACCCTTTTTCTATTTTACGTCCAGTACTGTAACCAACATGCCTATATATTTATCATCTCACTGTATGGCACGGGTCTAGTCCGTACTAGACCTGTCTATACCCATGTACAATTTTTAGAATGTAATGCTTACAATGAGAGAGATTATTTAGAGTATAATGGATGTCGGTGTTGTTTTCTTTTAAAATTGGTGGTATACGGAAAAACTTTAGATTTATTTTACATGGGTTGATTTTTGCAATAATTATGGAATACTTCAGCTGCCTCCGTGGCCGAACGGTTACCATGCTGGTGTTCCACGCAGAGGTCCCGGGTTCGATTTCCGGGGCGGGAGACATATTTGTATAGCCTACATTTATTTCTCTCGTGAGTTTGGACAATGGCACACCCAATGGCATACATGGCACACAAAAAAATATACAGACGGGAAAACATGAAATAAACAAGATGTTGTTTAAAGCGATCAAATAACTTGTTTCTTTGTTGCAAATAAAATTTGTCAAAATATTGAGCATGTTAAGGACGATAATGAAAAAGCCCGTGGGCATAATTTAGGACATTACGGTCGACTTTGCTTGCATTTTATGACACTGTTTACGAGTGTGATTAAAAATAATGAACAAAATCTTTTGAAGATCCCGTAAGTCTACCGTGGAGTTTCTTTCCAGTAGTGCCGAAATGTCATATCTGATTTATTGACGACGTTAACCGTCTCACATATTAGACCTATAAAGGGTGACTCACAGTGCATCAGGCTTGGACATGGAAAATTCCGAGCACATCGACAGCGTACGCCAAAAGTTCAACAAATTAAAACTTTTAACACTGGAAGTTTTAACCAGCTGTTGCAACAGCTTTAGTAGAATTCTTTTTCAAGGGAAAATCTAAACTTTTAAAAACTTAATTGTGTGTATACAGTTTGTGAATTCTTTGCCTTTTTGTTTTTCAAGAAGAATCGTAGAAGTGCTCTCCTATATAAGCAAAAGATGTATACCCAGCTTTAACGAATAAATATGTACTTTTAAAAACAAAAACAAAACTCCATCAATAAAGCGACGTATCCACCGGTAATGTACCTGGAAAAAGAAAAGAAATATATAATAATAATAATAATAACGCAAGACACTCATAGCCCCGCACTAGGGAAACCCTGCTTTGCAAGCCTTGCCAAATAAAACTCAGAAATGCTAAAGTCACGTGTTATGCTCATTCCAGTGAATTCAGAACTTTAAAACGCTCCCCTGTGAACTTGGCAATTTCGACATACGATACTTTACGTAGGATGGGTCGATACTTCTCCCGGCCTGCGAATCGAACCCAGAACCCCTGCGTGGCAGTCCGGCATGGTAACGGTTCGGCCACGGAGTTCCTAGATAAAGGAATTTATGTTTGAAAACAAGTATAACATAAGCACTGCGTCGTGACACTACGCGTTGCGACAATTATGTCGTTGAAACCCGTTAAATTATTAATCAACAACATCAACCCAACATGTCTCACTGCTGGGAACGGGTGTCCTCTCAGGCGAGGGTTTAGGCCATAGTCCGTCACGCTGGCCCAACGCCGGTTGGGGACTTTACAGTTTTCCGGGGGTTCTGAACCTTTTTCAGCGTGCAGGTTTCATCACGGCATTTTCCTTCACCGAAAAACTCATGGCAAATTTCATATTAAATTTCGTACATAAATTCCGAAAATCTTGAGGTGCGATTCCGGATTCGAACCCATGGCTTCTGCTTGAGAGGAACCAATGTCAAACCATTAGGCTGCTACGCAAGTTAAATTAAATCGCACTGTTAATACAATAGTGCATTAACTCGAAAAGTGTATTTTCTCAGAATCGACGAAACACGAATTACTCGTTTCCCGTGAAAAATAATAAAATGTTTGTATAGCTTATAGTTTATTACACACAATTTCCTACTTGCCAAATATATTTAAAAATAAAAGAGAAAAAATAATTTTATACTTTGGAATAAGGACTATTTTAGCCAGAACTAGTTCACATAAAGCGTGTCTCATTGCAGTTGTTTCTTACAATATTCTAAAGACAGTTTTATTGACGTGTAGGTAATCAAATTTTACGTTCAATAATGGTATAATCTTCAATTTCACATATTTTGAGTTATAACACTATTGTAACAACAGTGCGATATTACCAATAATTTTGTGTGACCAATATACTAATAATAATATTAACGCACACACTCCCAGCTCCGCACCAGGGAATCCCTTTAACGCGGGTACCATGAACACACACATAGTCAATCACAAAGTACACCATCAGAAGAGAAATAAATGTCATAACCGTTCGGTCAAAGAGGCAGTCAAAACAAAGAATATAGTTAGTCAAGAAGTTAATGAACAAACTTTCATGTTACATAATAATTAAAGTCAGGATTTATGACAATCGCGTGTCTGAAGACATCAAATCATCTAATAGCTTCTTATTACTTGTATACCTTCTGTATATCTTTCTGAAACAACCTCTTCATGTCCCTTATCCAATAAATTGTATCAAGATGTGATAAATACCGCGTTTTATTGTTTTTTCTAATCGTGTAATGAATTCTATTCATTATAATTGTATTATGCTTACGTGCTTCAGGTAATTACAAAATTCAATGATTTTAGGTATTTTATGCGCCCCTGTATGTGTGCTTCTGGCATACGTTTCTATAGTCCTTTGTACATTAAGCGACACAACCTCCACGTTCGACGGCCGAAGCCAGCCGAACCAGGACTAAAACGGACAGTCTGATTTATAGAGTGAATCTTTAAATATCTTATACATTACTTCGTAACTAAAGCTTAAGTAAGTAATAACGATACAGCAAGGGATCAAATGATCGCAAATTATTTCGCAATCACGTATCGCTGCCTCGGCGCCGTAACGTTTTCATATGCTTCAATAAAAAAACGATTATTTCGTTTAAAATGTTAATCTATTCGAATATTTTACTATCACATGATCTAGTAAACAATGATCTAGTAGTTAATATTAGATAAAACCGCAGGTCTAGGGAGACAGTCCGTGTTTCATTGGCTAATTAAAAAATCTCACGCAGATTTCGAGGAACTCGTAGACGTGTTTGACTCGTAAAACCAAAGTAGCAGGCAGTAAAATAAAATATTGGCAAAAAACCTACTAAACTACAATGAAATAAATATACAAATATTACTGTTATAACATACTAAAAAGGTTTTACTAGTGTGTTATAATTATTAATTCCTTCGACGTCTCCTAGCAAACGCTATACGCTATGCCAAGTAAGCCACGGAATGAACCAGCGAACCTCACGAATTTCTCTATGTGCTTGTTGTCGGATCTTTGTATTCGGTTTTTAACGACTTTTTAGCCGTAGCGCCATCTGTGAGAAATGTATGAAAGTATTTCGTCACCCAGTTAGGTACCTTACAGTTACCAGCTCTGGCTAGAGGTGTCGCTATTAACTGTAATTAAATTTGTATTATATTGACATTCAATTTATTTTGTGAAATTACTCCACTAGTTTGTTATAATTATTAATACAAAGATCACACACTTAGAAAAATTCCTTCGATTCGGCCGGATTCAAACCGACAACTCCTAGCATACTGTGCCAGACGCTATGCCAACTAAGCCAACTAAACAAAAATGTTTTTCTTATTTCTTTGTCATACTTTTGCTTGTACTCTTTTACTGTGTAGAAGGTTGGGCACTATAATGTTTGTAACTAATTCCGGAGGAAGACGTAGCGACTGACATACAGTTTTTTTAAACTAGTACGTACGCAGAAGTTCAACCTTTTCTTAATATGTTCCTTGTGTAATAATGTCACGTAATTTTAAGATACCATGCTATTGATACCATGGTATTGACACAATAAACATTATTATTATATTATTATCCCGTGTAGCATAAACGTCTAACGTAATTTTCATGTGCGTAGTTTTTATTTAGACGATTAACAAAAATAAGACCAAAATATTAGTGACTGCAAAACATGCTACCAAAATTAAAACCATCATAAATTACTTTCTAGTAGAGCAGGTGGTGCAATTCAAATATCTTTATAGTGTTATTATAGAGGACTCCACATGAACCAATGACATAAAGTCTAGAATCGTAATAGCAAAACTACCTTGCCATAATGCGATTGAAAAACGATTCATTAAAATCTATGTCTGGAGTGTCGCATTGTATCGATACATGACCTGGCCAATAACAAAGAAAGATACAGAGAGATTGGAATCATATGAAATGTGGTGTTGGAGGTGAATGAAGAAAATAAAGTGGGTAAAGAAAATATCTAATGAACAAGTTTTAAAAAGGGTTAGAAAAGAGATAAATTTTTGGAAGGAAAATAGTAAACGAAAGGTTAAAAATGTTTGGACGTCTGTTATGTAGTGACGAATTTATAAAGCAGCACCGGAGTGTGATCTGTTTGCATGGCGATGGGCGGCTGTGTGTTGTGAATGCCTGAGATTTTGTGAAGCGATGGATGATAGTGAGTCAAGTATAGCGCTATAGTTTAATTTATTATTTCAGTGTTTGGTTTTTTTTTAATTTTTTTATTGTTATTTTTTAATTAGTTTGGTTTCACGACGCATTGGTTATGGAACTGTAATGCCGTGTAAACATGTTTACAATAAATAAATAAATGTTGGAATAGAGGGGAAGAAAGTTATAATTGAGGGGAAGATAGAAGAAAAAAGAAAGAGAGGATGAATGGCGTACAGTGAACAAATGAAGAAGAATGTTAAAGTGAGCAGCAGCTGCTTATATATAGTGAGGTGGTTATATACACTGACAAGAGCCTGGCTGTCGAATAGGATGATGAGTTTATCTTTTACTTAAATCCTATCGCTAAGTTTACGGTGAACGCATATTAAAGTATAATAATAATTTGAAAAGTTTTTGTAAACTGCACTTTTCTTTAAATGATTATCACTAGTATCAGGTTTCTTACTACGGTATGACTTCTTTTTATTTTCCCGATATTTCGGAACGGTTGCACGCTCCATGGTCACGGGTTGACTCTGGGTTGAGCGTGCAACCGTTCCGAAATATCGGGAAAATAAAAAGAAGTCATACCGTAGTAAGAAACCTGATACTAGTGATAATCATTTAGTGAATAACCACGAAAGTCTTAAAATCTATATGCACTTTTCTTTATTTACGTAACGTTCAAATTTGCAGTTTTAAAAAGTGGCAGTTTGTATCTGACATCTATTAATTTTGAACATACAAGAGAAAGTATATTTATATCTATAATCTGATGTAAGATTATTCAGTTTTCGTTCTCTAAAGTTTACGCCATGAAACGGTTGACATATTCCACTGTAACTTGATAAAGAAAACAAAGCAAAGAGGTCAAGGTCACATAGGTCATTATGTACGTTACAGCTAAAGCAGTGTTCGAAAAAATCCACATAATGATAGCTTAAAACTGACAATTGTGAAGCCGTAAAGCATAATACAAAAGATTACATCGCGGCGTTGGAACGCGCAATAAATAATCGAAAGTACTTTTGTCGTAACTAACGTTATTGCTGACAATGAAACGGATTTTTATTATTTTACATAGCATCTGTGTACTGTGCACTTAAATAGATTTTATGATTTTGGGACATAAAGTTGCTAGTATTTTGTTTTCTATTGTCTTGCAGGGAATTATTATATAAAGTTTGCATATTTTTCTTGTAAACGTTCCTTTATTATTAATACGAATACGATGAACTTACGTGAGTTGTTATGTCTACACTTGGAAAATTTTCTGAAGTATTAAATTAGACTGAGAAGTCTAGGTATTCTCTAAGAATAGGGCCATAAGGGGTTAAGGCCCTCTTTTGCAGAGCTACAAGAAAAAACAGTTTTTCTTTCAGCGGCGTTACAAGCTCAGTTACATCGAGTTATTAGAGGAAATTGGTATGATATGATATGGCCTAAAGGAAGATTCCATTACTATGGAAATAATACAATTCCGTTTGCATATTTGCCGAATTTCCTTGTTATAATTACATTTCCTCTTCATATCTTTTTCATTATTAATTGGAATTTGTCAATATTTTATCTTACAGGTCCGAGTTTGCCATAGAAGCGGGTATCATTAAATAACACATGACTTACCATTATAGCTACAGTGCTGAGACGATGGGTTCCTTATCAGAATTAACTACAGATTTATCTACAAACATGTACATCTTAACGCAGTCTTCTTTCGGACTCGGATTGTCTTCCGGTTTCTCATCTGGACTCACATTGTTCTCCCTTTCATCCTCATAAACCTTCATATTATCATTAAACTCCATCCTGTATTTTAAACAAGGCATTTTAGCTGTCGAAATCAGAGACTCTTGAATTGTATCATTTCCGTTGCAAGTCTTTTCTGAACGAAACATACCAGTTCTTTCTGATTGATTAAAATTTCTCTTTGACTTCTTAGTGACTAAAGCCCCTAAACAGGGCAAAATCTGCTTGAATTCCTTACGGAAATTCTCGTTCAGCCAGGCATATAGGAACGGATTGTAGCATGTGGAAGACATAGCTATGAAGTGTGTAAGGAAAAATAGTACCATATAATAAGTCCAGTCTTCGGCTATCGAGTAGAAGTCACTACTTATGTTCATCAGGTTTAACGGTAGCCACGATAAACCGAATATTGCCACCATGGCAATCAGCATTCTATTGGTTCTCCTTTTCCTTTCTCTCTCTGCATCATCCTTTTTGCTATTTTTACTACCCGGCCGTGACTTCAATCGATCATTCAATTTGATACTAACGCATGTGTAACAAAACGCCATAACTATGAATGGGAGAACAAATTGCATGATGGTAGTGACTGCACCAAAAGCTTTGTGGATTTCATCTGACGGCCATTCTTCTACGCAATAAATATCTTTCAAAGACATATAATAGCCATAAGGAAATGTGACAGATAGTGCGAATACCCATATGAAAATAATTAGGCCAATGCATGTTTTGATTTTCATTCTAGGCTTAAATGGATAAATGATGACGAAAAATCTATCAATGGCAATGGAAGTCAAAGTAAGAGTAGAAATGTAAACGCTGCAACCTTGGGCGTAAGGCATGATATGGCATAACAGACTGCCGAAAACCCATCTGCCTAGGAACGTGTAAAGAGGTGTAAATGGAACTGCGAATATACAGAGAAGTATATCCGATAACGCGAGGTTTGTGATGAACAGATTAGTGACAGTTTGCATGGCTCGGTTTCTGATAACGGCGTAACATACTAGAGCGTTGCCAAAGATTCCTACAACGAAAATTATAGTGTACGCTGTACAGAATATTGCTTGGACAGCCTTATTTTCGATCGGATCGTGTGTGGTAATATTAGCATTTTCGCTTGCGTTAAGGAACGTGTCATTAGAGGTAACATTGTTAGCTTCTGTCCATGATTCGGTCTGCATAATTCTAGTTTCTTAACTTGGCATCATAACCTTATTAGGTCGGTTAGTATCATGTCTGAGTGGCCGGTGTTTTATTCGCTGATTTCTTCGTGTCTTGAGTGCAGTATTTTTCATAGTGTAGTTGTTTTCTCGAGCAAATATTTTGGTTTCTGTCAATAATATGATGATGCTTGAGTATATGTCACATCTTTTCTGTGTAAATCAAGTCTCAACTGTTACATTCTGCGAATTCCAAACTCCAAATCTGAAACAACGGAAAAATATTGATTTAATAAACTTATTAAGACTTTGGAACAGTACTAGACAGATAGAAAACTTAATAGAAATTGAATGGTAATTAATAACTTAATTATTGTCATCCATAAACTTTACTCATAAATACGTTTCGTATCTGCTAATAAAATTTTAATATTTGATGATCTCGGTGGCCCATCGATTTGCACTGTGAAAACTGTATGAGGAGGTCACGGGTTCGATTCTCGGTAACACCAATTTGGGAAATGGTTCTGGTCTTGGATTTTAGTAGCGCCCCGGAGATTTCTGTTGCTCTGGAACAGGGAATTTCCTTGTTTGAGACCAATAATTGGTGATGTCTGGCACATTACGCAATTATTATTAAAATGAGACCTGGATTTGTATCTGCACTTGATATTTAAAAAAAACATCCAGTAAAATACAAAAATCATAAAAAGTATAATAAAAATATCTACTAAAAGTAGACGACAATAAATCTAAACGTGCCAAGGCTCATGAAATGTGTTGCAAGGAAAAAACTGATATATCTCAGCGTTACATTTATATTATGTATATCATAAATAAATTGAAGTGGGATTATAGTTCACGGCCGCAATATACAGTGAAAAACACTCCGAGTATTACGTTTAAAATTTAAATACAAATTAACTCTATAGTACTTAATATAATTTACAGATAGGTAAGATATAAAAATACGATAAAAAAATTATATGAATAAAATTGGATCCTCGTGACAAAATGACCAAGATGTTGGCAGCGGCAGCGTTCCCCCCTTTCTATATATATCAGTCTATTAATTTTTTTGATAAAATTTTGTAAAAATAAGGGCACCGGGACTTTGTCAAGGTTTCGACTCCAAAGGGTGCAAATAGGTAGTCAGACCCGAGGTCCTGGTACTTCTGATAAGAACGTTCCGGAATCTGAAGTGTAGTAGTAATACCAATAGTAAATTAATTTTAGAAACATTGTTAATTAGCTACAGGTTGGTTTTTAAGTTCATATTTATGAGCAGTATTGGAAAGTCTCCATTCGTTTTAAGAATTCAGTGAATTTCCAATGCGGGTACTAGATTAAAAGAGGATATGTTATACTTAGTATTTGTATTATCTCAGATCAGGAAATTCCTTTTACTATGAGCACCAGCGCAACGAAAGTAACTCGGGGGCAATCACTGGACGAACAAGGCGTGCGCCTGGTGGTAAGCGACACACATGTCCATAACAGTTGCATTACCACTGAGAGTTATAAATAGGAAAAATCTGAGGGACACTGCCACTGCACCTGTAATCTTATAGATATAAGTTTACAAGTCCCATGTGCCTATAGTTTTACCAGCACCCTTAATTTTCAAAACCGGAACGCAGTAATTCTCACATTACTATTTGGTGGCAAACATATGTAACGTCGCAGTACTTCCATGGACGAACTATTCCACAAGGAGCTTTACTGATACAAAAATTTAGAAATGATCGTTTCCCGAACTGTAGGGCTAGCACGAAAGGACGCGACTTGCGCGAGAGCGACTCAGAGCGCGAGATACTGCTATTCTCGCATAGAAATCCAGCGCTTTATGTCGCTCTTACGCAATTCGCATCATACCACGCTAGCCCTACTGGTGCTAGCCGGTGAGCCACCGATGTTGTCATTATATCATATAAGTATCACAAAAAAAATTGCCTTGAAATTTTATGTCAAACAATCCAAAAGTTTCCGCATTTTAGGTACGGCAACTAATCAAAAGAACTAGTCAATAAAATTTTTCGAATCCTATCCTTGATGTATGTATAAAGCCAAATGTAATATGAAGGTAATAAAAATAATAACAACTACATGAAACTAATTATGTATTTGTGAAATTTTATAAGGCATGTATTTAAATACATGATCAATTAAATTTGCAAAACCAGAAGGTAAAAAAATTAAACGGTCATCTTTTTTAATGATAGACCCCTTTTCTCTGAGACATAAAATAAATTAAATCAATGCATATTTTAATCTGTTCTGATCTAATGTTTGATTTGTATAAATGAATACTTTCATACTGAGTCTCGGAAACGCAAGCCAATTCGCTGTCGCGGCGCGCACGCTTTGCTCGCTCGGCTCGTGCTGCTTTTTCATATACTAAGTAACCTAATCTACTGAATGGAGGGCGCAACCAAGATTTGACCTCTATGAAAAAAGAGGATCAAATATTATTTTTGAATATCAAATATTAATTTAGTATTCTTAAACATAACGATAGTGTTACCTTGAATGCAGTTCATTTATAATTTATCCGTAGATCAACTAATATAGACGGAACAATTACTATATACACATACGAAACTTAAAAGATATATAACACATTGCGCATTTACAATAGATCAATTATATCTTTGATGATTAAATGAATGTTATCCTATTTTATAACTCTCTAACTTTTAGAATCTTTAAATCTCTTTCCTGAAAAGTTTGCTAATGTGGTCTTATTACACCAAGAGCGCGAGTTGTGACATAAGCATGATCATAAATTGTATCATAAGTAGGACTCTTGTATCATAAATGCAATACTTGTGTCGTTAGTATGATCACCGACTGAAATATGGTAAGCCCTTTTGTGCTAAATTTTCTGTATATATAAAGCCTCGACGCTTAGCATATTCCGTCTTATTTATTGCAAAATTTGCCAAATTTTGTAGTCAATCATCTTACATTTCATTCCCTTGTGAAATCGTCTCATCTTGCGTGTAACATTGTCACACGCTCGATTTAACAAATTGTCGTCGATAAACGATGGATTCCTCCAACAAATTCGTCATACCTAATACCTTTTCCAGGATAATACCTGGGTATAATAGATTCCAAAGACGTCATTATGTCTATTGTAGATAGAAGTGGAAATCATATCGTGACAACTTAAATTAACAAAAACTTAACTTTACCACATTTTAAAAATTTAACGTTACCATGCTAGTCTGCCACGCAGAGGTTCTACATTTATTTGTCTCGTGAGTTTGGGTAGTAATTTGTGGTTATATAAGTGTGTGTCCATGTCACCCGCGATGTAGAGCTTCTCTAGTGCGGGGCTATCATATATCATCATTATTCAAGACCAATTACCCCCAGGTTACGATCTGCGGTGGACAATGTGGAAGTCCTGGAATCGAGTTCGGACTCAGGTACAACGATGCAGAGACAAGGTGTGTAAATGTGGTTTCAGGGATGCTAGTCTAACCCGAAGTGAAACCTGTATCTGTCGTCCATATACGACGACACTCGGTGGCCCAATGGCTTATACTGTGGACGATAGATGAGGAGATGCCGGGCTCGATTCTTGATAAGACCACATTGGAAAGCGAACTTTTGTAACTTTGTTCTGGTTTGGATGTTCTGGTACTTATAGTATATGGAATTTCCTAGTTTGAGACCAGGCAATTGGTGTGGTTGTCGGACACATTATTCTTATACATTAAAGGCAAGTTATGTTACATTAGATCGATAGATGCCGTTGCCTATAAACTTTCAACCAGCTAACCAATGTAAAAGTATTTATAAACAAGTCCATTACGGATTAATATTTAAACGGGGATCTAATGCCGCTAACATGACAAGCAATGTATTGCTTAGAATTGACAGCTCAGTTATTTATCGAACATTTAGCACATTGGACACTGTAACTTATAATAATCTCAGTACAGAGTACTAAAAAACCGACCTCAAAGTACGTGGAATTACGTCTATTTGCTAAGTACGAGTATGAAAGTGACTGAGATAGGTATATAGTTGACAGAGTCAACTCTACTTCCCTTTTTTTGGTACAGTTTGCACGTTTGCAAGCTTCCACGACCTAGGAACTACCCCAGTCTCAGGTGAGAGGCGGTACAGGCGTGTGAGGACAGGAGACAACTTAGGCGCACAGTTAAGCAGGACTATTGCTGGAATTCCATCTGGCCCGCTAGCTTTATTCACGTCTAGATTTCGCAGAGTGCTAAGTACCTCTTTTTGACGAATACGAACTAGCGCCATAGTGCAGCCAGTCTGAGGTAAAGTAGGTGGTAGGTTCCCTGCGGCATCCAGACGCGAACTCTCTGCAAAGAGTGAGGCAAAGAGATTCGCCTTCTCTTCCGCAGTATGAGCCAGCGAGCCATCCTGCCTCAGCAGAGGTGGCAAAGATGAGCGACAAGAATTTAGATTTTACCGCTTTGGCCAGGTATTGAAAGGATTTGCTGCCTGCTGGATAGGCAGCAAGCTTAGCCCCTATGCGGCGCACATGGTCGAACTTGGCCCTACGTAACACGTTTTTGCACTTCTTGGCGGCCTTATTAAAAGCATTTTTCAAATTCTGAGTACTCGGAGCTTTGCGTAGTCGGGCATCTGCCCAAGCTTGGTACGCGGACTGTTTATGTGCTTCAGCACAACCACAATCAGCGTTAAACCATGGACGAGGTTGGGGTCCATTGGGTACATCAGAGTATGGTATGTAATACTCTATACCCAAACGCAAGACCTCGACTACAGAATCAGCACAGCTCGACAAGTCTCCTGAAGTAAAGCACGCCTGTCAGGGATATGACGCAAAGAAATGGCGCATTTCGTCCCAATCTGCTAACTTATATCGCCACATCCGTCTCATACCACTAGGGCCCAAATCGGGTGGGGAGTATATGGATACTGTTTTCAGCAGACAATGGTCGGAAATACCCAGTGGGGCATCCACAACCACAGAGTATCGGTCCGGATCAGTTGTCAGCAGAAGGTCCAAGCAATTAGCCGTATGAGATTTTACATCTGGTATCCTAGTGGCGCCACTGACATGTTTACGCGTCTCTCTCCCAGCGTGATCGGTCTTCTGGTATGGGAACAACCATTCTTGATGGTGTGCATTAAAGTCCCCCCAGAATGACTAGTTGCGCTGCTGGAGGGTATGCTGAATCTCATCAGACTTCTCGCTCAGATATTGGAACAGCTTGGTCGTCTCTTGATCTCCACTGTGCGATCGGTAAACACAGC